CCACAGGAGACCCACCGGTCAAAGAGATACTACTACTTCTCGAAACCACCTACCATTCTTCTTCCCTCTTTCTCTTTCTTCTTCTTCTTCTATTATTAGTTTCAGTCGCAGTATTTGATTCCTATCCCTGCTTCCTCTTACTACTTCCTGTTCAGTGGGGTGTTGATATTGTTCCCTCGGGCCTCCCACGGCGATGGCGGGAGGCAGCAGCATCCATGCGAAGCTGGTAGGTATAAATACTTAAATTAATATGATGTATCAGATGTCAATAACCATTTTTTAAATTAATAGGCTATTCAAAGAAATTAAACATCATATTTCTGGTTAATTTAGATATTAAAACTGTTATTTGTTTGGAAATTACTTAATGTGGTGTGTTCATAGGATGAAATTCATCTTATTGTACATTTAGAATTATTTGGACAATTGAAGTAGAAATACTGAAAATTTTCATTTCTTGGTTTTGCTAATAATGTTTTAGGAAAAAATTGAAATAGGAGTGGAAATTGAAAAGTAACATGAACCGACGGGCAATAAAACCTGATGCAATTCTAGCACATAGGTCATGTCACTCTTAACATAAAATAATGTGCATATAAAAAACATCATGTGGTAGGTCAAGATTAATATATTATAGGTATGCATAGGTTATTGGGGCTTGCTTGCAAATATTAAAGGTTATGGCCTCTATAGAAATTATAGGAAAGAAAATGATTCTACCGTCACCTTATTGCTGCTTCATGTATTCAACAGCCATCCAAAATGAATTTTTATTTAAATACTTCAGACTATCTATTTGAATATCAATACAAATTTTTGAAAATTAAATAGTTGTGATTAAAAATAATTTCTTGGATCACACCCCATTACAATTAATATAAAGCACTCTCAGATGAAAAAATATGCATACAAGCTAGTAAATAACAAATATCACCATTTGTTCAAAATGCACATTATTACTAAAGAATAACAATGAAGACAACAATGTGACATACCTATTGAAGGAGATACCTGTTGAAGGAGAAACATAGAGAGAGATGGAGGAAAAACTGCTACGAAAAGAATTGTGTAATTTATTGGTGTATATATAGGCATGCGAGATGATGTATTTTTTTCTTTATAGGAGTTTATTGTTTGCACAAGAGCTATCCAACAAATAGAGTTAACATGGAAGTTGATAACATGGGAATTACATGTTGTACAAAAATATTTTTATTGATTAGGATATCTATTCTGATCCAACTTCGTGGAAATTCTATTCACGTGGAAATTCTATTAATATATGTTGTATAGCTAGACCGTTGAACGTGGACGATATAGCTTATGATCTAATTTTGTGAAAATCTGTTCACATGGGCAAGGGTGGATTTACCTTGGATGAAGTGGTGTCATGCGACACCACTTTATTTGAGCGAAGCTATTATTCTTATGAAGAGTATGTGGATGTCTAGTTATTACTTGTTATGACAACTAATATTACCTGTTCAAGTCCTAACATAATCAAGAAGAAAGATTTTTTTTGCTTAATAAAATTTGCATGCTTCTAAGTGTTAATGAAACATAATATTTTGCATGCTACAGGACATGTATTAGAAAAAAACACTCAGCTATATTATATGTATTACCCTATGAAGATAGAGGGAAGTCTAAAATAGGTGGGACTTAAATACATTCATCATGTGATAAGATAAGAAAAAGTTTGTTCTAATAAGTTGGATTCAAGTCTTTTCTAATATATACCCTATCATTTGAAGTTACTAAAGTGCAATTCTGTATTTATTAGTATTACTAATGATGCGATTATGTAGCTTTTACTAAAATATGAAAATTCATCAAGACAATCATAAAATTTTTTAATTATTAGCTAAAAGGGCAATTTAGTCCCTGCACTAGGGCTTCATACTCAAATTGGCCCTTGTACTTTACTTTTCCTCAACTTGATCCCTGTATTGGGGCTTCATACTCAAATTGGTCCTCTTACTTTATTTTTCAACTTCGTTCATGTACCAGGGCTTCATAGTTAAATTGGTCCCCCTAGTTTATTTTAAATTTTAACGTTTTGAAGTAAACTACCAGTAACTTTCAACATCACACTAAATCTCCTAAGAAATTTCAAAAATCATACTTAACCTCCAATAACTTTCAAAAGCACACTAAACCCCCTATAACTTCTAGTTTTTTAAATCATACTAAACCCCCAATAACTTTTGCAGACCCCCAAAGTTAGCATCATTACATCTAATATGGCACATGCATCCCACGTGACTTAAAAAGATCAAAATACTCCTTAAATTATTTTAGAAAACTCTTGATGACCTTTTTATATTTTCAAGCCTAAAAATAGAAACCTCTCTTTTTTTTATTTGTTTTCCTCTTGCTCGTTCAGGTTAGGGTCCTGAACCCTTTTTTTTCTTTTGCTGGAATTGTCCTTGAAATGTCTTTTTATGTTGTTTTTTGTTCTAATTTATGGGGGTTATCTACATAAAGTGAAAACTTATTGGGGATTTTTGCAAGTCCAAGATTTATTTGGGATTTGGTGAGATTTGGAAGTTATTGGGGGGTTTAGTATGATTTTGAAAGTTATTGGGTGGTGTAGTGTGATTTTTGAAATTTCTTGGAGGGTTTAATGTGATGTTGAAAGTTATTAAGAGTTTTTTGCATAACGCTAAAAGTTAGAAAAAAGTAAGGGCATCGATTTGAGTGTGAAGCCCAAGTACAGGTATTAAGTTGAGAAAAAAATAAAGGAGGACCAATCTGAGTGTGAAACCCCAGTATGGGGACCAAGTTGAGAAAAATGAAATATGAGGACCAATTTGAGTATGAAACCCCATTATAGGGACCAAACTAGCCTTTTATCCCCAATTATTAAACTATATGGTGACACCACTTTTTAGAAATTCTGGATTCGCCATTGCATATGTGTATTATAGTTAGGATAGGATAATGGAAGCATATACCTATTAAAGTTTGAAATCTGTTCACATGGGATAATAGGAGCTAAAGCTTATACACGTATATTAATTAGGATAGGAAAATAGAATATTATACCTGTTAATTAGGATATGATATGATAATAATGTAATATCCAATAGGATGAAAGGAATTTTTGTCTGTGGAAAGATATTCCCAAACTCACACTTCTAAAGGTAGTACGGTGTGCTGACTTATGTAATATATATTTCAATTTATCACACTCGTTATAATTGGGCGCATATTCTGCACTTTACATCCACTTTTTGATACTCTTTGAGCATGGCTCAAGGTTATTTCAATCCGTACACAGTTTAAAACTATGAATTTAAATGGTTGTTGGGTATCTAGTTCAAAAATGGGTCATTTGGGTATTTAGTTAAAAAATGAGAGGTTTTCAATTTATAATCTATATAATAAAAGAAACATATACATGTTTTATCTTGTGACACGCGAATGAAAGAATCAATATTGATATTTTGTAAATTTTTATTTCAGAGTATATGTGTGTGTGTATGTGTGTGTGTGTTTATATATATATAGATGCGCGCGCGCGATACACACACTGTGCGCGCGCATACGCACATGCACACACGCACACGCACGCACGCATGCACACGCACGCGCGTGCGCTCACACACGCGCGCACGTATGCACACACATGCACGTCTGCACGTGCGCACGCACACGTACACGCGCGCGCACGTACACATACGCACAACACACAGATAGAGTGGTGATGCCCACACATTTTAATGTGACTCGTAAGGTGGGCCTCACCAAATGGCTATCTCTTAGTAGCTCATTTTGTAAAATGAACCGCCACCTCATACCCATTATTTCCATATATATAATATCCTGTATGACTGTATTATACCATTTACAAACTTAAAATATGTGATAAACGTGTGACTGAAGATTTATAGGGATACAATTTATCTTAGCATGTACAGCTCTCTGTTTGTATTATATATACCCATCATATGTACGTGAATGTTATCATGATAACTTTTGAATCTTTTCTTCATATTTCTTCTTCTTGGAGTTAAACAGTTTCCCTTTCTTATGCATGTAATCATCAAGCATGCAAAAATGTAACCAATTCTAACTTGTGGTCTCCTTTAGATGCTTTAATTAGGGACTCTCATAACAAATTAGGTAATAGTGTTCTATAATCTTTTTTTGTATATCTCTCGAGTTTTATGATACTGTGATATACATGAGTTGATCTTTAATGGGTTCTGTTTCCACATATCTTAATATTGGATTATTAGGAATTTCCATTATATGTAACCTTGCATTAAGTAAAGAGAATTACTTACCAAATGATGAATAATTGTTTCTCCAGGTACTTCTTGGGGACATGGGAACAGGAAAGACTAGTATAGTACTGAGGTTTGTCAAAGGCCAGTATTTTGATTGTCAGGTCTGTTCTTAGTTCTCCCATTTATCTCATACATTCTCATATAGAAATGAACTACTACGGAAAACCACAATATAGCTCAAATTTCCAGGAATCTACAATTGGTGCAGCCTTTTTCTCTCAAATACTATCAATAAGTGATGCAACTATAAAGTTTGATATATGGGATACAGCTGGACAAGAGCGATATCATAGCCTGGCTCCCATATATTATCATGGGGCAGCTGCAACTATTGTTGTGTATGACATCTCGAGCAGAGTAAGTTCATTTAAAGAAATTGTTATATCTCAACCTATTGTTTACATTATTTATTGGTTAATTTTACTTCAGAGGTTTCGAAAAGAACAAACATGAGCCCTTATTAAGAAGTCTAATAGCAAGCATTTCCTTGGAAGATATTAGTTAAACTGATTTTTCCCTGTTACAGAGGATGATAAGTAGCTTTGCTTATCTTAAGATTAAGATTTCATGCTGTTGTTAATATTACATAAATCTTTCTTTAAATTTTCTAGTGAGTCAAATGGTTATTGAATCACAGTACATACCAATATTCTGTATAGTTTAAGATGGTGTCTCCTGATTTGAAATCTGAAGGTTTACAAAATTAAACATGTTATGTTCTTTATTTCAAGAAACTTTATGTGATTAGTGCATATTATGACTAGAATTAAATGGATTGGAGAGATTAGGTTAGCATTCAAATCCATCATTTTGGGAGGTCGGGTTAAGGAAGCCATGTCTTTGAATGTAGAAGACCTTACTCAATCTGAAGAGATAGGGTAACTTAAATGAGAAAGGTGAGTTGGGAGCTGAAGATATAGAGTGATTACAGTTGGAAAATAGAAACCTTAGTATCATGGTTCATGCCGTTAGAGTCAGTTGAGAGGCAAGTTCATGTCTGAACCTAATTCTAAAATTAACATGGCATGCATGGGGAGTCCAGGTTTGGATGTTTGAGATGGGCTTGTAAAAGTTCTCCCTTCAAGTAGAGCATAATTCTTTGGAAAAAAATATATTGACGATTATATAATATGAATAAGAAGCACAAGTTATATGAGATACAACACAACGTATATTCAATAGGCCTATACATTCTCCTGGTAATTTGGTTGATCAGATATTATGTATTTATTATAATAGACATAATCAGCAGGTGCTATCTTATCTGTTTGGCACAGGAGCATATACTCTTCTTGTGCCTTCTTTTGGGTACAGACTGCTTTTGTTAATATGAATTTTTTATATTCCTTTCTCAACACCTTCAAATTAAAGTCTAGTTATGCTAGGGATTGAAATGTGTTGGTTGGGGTCAGAACTTTGACCTCACTCACCATTTAGGTGACCCAAACATGAATTCTCTATTGACAGGTTAACCAGATTTTTGAAAGGTTTGATTAGATTAAATTGAGTTTAAATAGGAAAAGGAAAGAGCTCAAACATGACCAGTATTGAACTAGCATTTTAATAATATATGTCAAAAGTAAGACTTGAACTAGCACGAAAGGCACAAATATCATTTGCCCTTGTGGGACAGACTAGTATAGTGCATGGGCATTGCTCATGTACCCACTTTCATGGTTATATGTAGATAATAAGCGTGCATTGGAATACTAATTATCTGTATGTATATAAATGTATGGTACCCACATAATACTGTTAGATATATCTTAGTTTCTCGGTTTCTCTAAACATTAATATAATTTACATAGTATTATTTAAATAATCCATGTAAACTATTAGTATTATTTAAATAATCCATGTAAACTATACTTTTTTAGTTTCTCGGTTTTTCTCTGAACTAATAAATTTTACATATCACTTTTAGAGTTTTCATAGGTCCTCAGGCTCCCTCTAAACTAAAAAATTATACATTATACTCAGGCGTCCACTCACAAGGTTTAAAATGTATTGCTACGCAAGTGGTTTCATCGTCATCCACACATGTAATGAATTTTGTGGTATCCCTCGATCCTCTCTCTGAACATACACTTATTATTATTATTCTTTTGTTATCTTCTTTTTATTTTTTTAGAAGTTATTTTTTATTTTCTTTGTTTCACATACATTTGTATTATTATCCTTAAGTAGTAATTCATCATATAATATATCGAAACCTTAAAAGACATAAGTCAAATTTCAAATTCTAATTATTTTAATGTTACCGTGAAAATTTTCTAAAACAAATCATATTAAAAGATGATTTAGATCAAGACAGATAAGAAACTTAAACTAAATATAAAAAAGAAATAAATTTAGCTATAAAAAGTTAATAACTTACCATGCAAGAATATTGGTTATATGGAAAATATTTGGACCCCCTATTGGAAGCGAACCGTTGCTAGAGTTTGTCACTCTACATAACAAAAATCATTGATAATATTATCCATAACGGGCATAATTAAATAATAAAAATATACTAAATTTTTAAAAAAGTAAAATATCATATATAGTCTGGTGGAATGACAGAAGAATTCTTGTAAAGTTTGAAAAGGATAACTTTATTTCCTTTTCTTTTAACTTCATAGTCAAATAGTTGTTATTTTTTCAATAAAATCTTATAAATGCTTATATGAGAATACATATGATTATCCTAATAATAGCTGCTTTTATATTCATGTATGTTAACTTCATTGAAATTAAAATAAAATGGTCAAATGCAAGTTGTCACTTATGAAAACTTTAGGGGATTTCCCATGATTCCTTCGAAACTATAGATTTTAATTAATGTATCCTACATAATAATTAGAACATTTTTCAAAAATCCATCAAAATCATTGGTAAGATGCACGTTTTATGCAAAGAGTTGATGTATGAAAAGTTTAATGTTAAAATGCATATCATATCTTTCAAATGCATATTATATCTTTCTTCGCAAAAGTGAGTTCAAAAGAAAACAACAAAAAGATCATGTAAAAATTATACATACTTTGGAGCGACATATGTTTTTGATTCTCCATTCTGAAGTGTCCTTTGACTCTATGATATTCTCAACATGCAAATCTTTTTTCTTCTGTTGTTTTACAATTTATTACAAGCTAATTTATATGCAATTTTCCTAATCCACATCGTCAGCTCTTTATTAGTTTCGGATTAGCCCTTAGGCCCCATTTGGCAAAAGGTTAAGAAAGATGGATTAAAGAGAAGGATTAATGTAGTTTGCCCATTCGATAACCTGAAGGACTACATTATTAATATGTTCAATAAGTTTTATTTTAGCCCCTGTGATCAGTTTTAGTGTTTGGGAATAAAGAGGATTTTAACCATTTTCTTTATAAATAAACAGGTTAACTTTTAATCCTTCTAAATAGGAGTATTAGTAAACCCTTCATTTTGAGGGGTTAACTCATTTTAATCCCTTTAGAAGGGTTAGCTTAACATTTATGTATTTTTTATATTTTGCAAATTATGGAGGGTTAACTCATTTTAACCCTTCTACAGATTTTTTTTGTTTGGCAGGTTAGGAAAGGGTTTAGTCTCCTTAACCCTTCACTTAACTCATTGCTGAACAACACCTTAAGGTAAACATGCTAACCATAATTTCAATATTAGTTATAATTTTAAAATTAAAAATACCAACGAAGATACTTATAATTCTAGCAATTTGTTTTTAATCTGAATCTACAATCAATGTCCATTGAATTGAAGTAATAGAAATCCAGAACTACACATTCCATTGACCTTCACTGAATTGAAGTAATAGAAATCCAGAACTACACATTCCATTGACCTTCACTTAACTTATTATCTGATCCTCACCAAATTAACCAGGCATGAAAAGTAAAATGAATCCCATTGACCTTCACTTAACTTATTATCTGATCCTCACCAAATTAACCAGGCATGAAAAGTAAAATGAATCTTTTGCCTAATACCCCTGAAGCAACTATCTCTTATTACAACAACGAACACACATACACATGACATTAAACCTTCAATTACTAATATACATCCACTAATGAAAATATAATAAGAAATATGAATGGAAGGAACCCATCACCAACTCTACCGAGCTCATCCGTCGAACCATCTACCGACACAGCCTCTGGCCCCTCTACTTCCACCAAACCCTTCACCGCTACCACCTCAAAATCCACATGGCCCACTGCATGCTGGCTCCACCACCCGCTCCGAACCTACCACAGTCACATTTACCAGATTCGCCTCCGCCACCGTTGTCGAGCGCACTTTTGTGGCGGAACCATGTCTTTTGATTGCCAAACCTCAGTTCCCTCGAAGTTTCTTGGATTGGCAAATCAAAGGGAAGTAGCAGAGGAGAGATAGAAGGGAGTTGAGAGGTGTTATATAGGTGGTGAATTCTGTTGGGATAGTGAATATCCTTGGACATTAGTTTGATCATTAGTGATAGTGAATTTTGTTGTGTGAATGGAAGAAGATGGGAAGGGGAGTTATATAGGAGGTGGAGTGAAAACGGATGAGACTTGAGGGGGGTCTTGTGATCCATTAGTTGGAGGCACAATTTCTTTATCACAGTTAATTACTCCCTTATTGAAGAGGAATTGTGATGTTTCAGTGATCATCAATTTACTATGTATTAATATAAATTAATAAATTTATTAATATGCTTGCATGCTAATCAACATTCATAACTTGCTAGAAAAATAAAAATAAATTAATAAATTAAATATTTATTTAAAGGACTCATTCAACATTCATAACTTGCTAGAAAAATAAAAATAAATTAATAAATTAAATATTTATTTAAAGGACTCATTACATAAAATTGAATATTTATAATAATGTATATATTGCATTTACTGTAGTATTTATCATATTGAGTATGTATGTATGTATATTTATGTATGTATATGTATGTGTTTTATAATGGTGAAACACAAAATTACAGGGATGCACAAAACAATGTAAATGTCACTTCTATAAATTTGAGGCATTTTCAGAAGAATGTCTAAACATGCAACATACTTTTATAGGAGTATTAGATAACTAGTAGCAAGAATAGCATAACGAATGATGGCAACATCCATCTTCCATTCGAAAAGTTTGGGTAAGGGATTCTGTGTCACTAGAATGCAGTGGATCGTACTCATCCAGAAAGTCTCCCAGATCACCAAGGGGACCGAACTCTAATGATAAAATAAAAGGTATTTTTTATGATCTCATCTGAGTTCAGCATCCAAATGTCTCCTTTGATTTTGTTTACACGAGGTGAAGTCTTCACATGGAGTTAGACATTTATGCAGAGATGTGCTCACGCATTGTTGCTCTACCCCTAGCTCTCTATTAGAATTTACGCCTAGTTGGTCTGATGGAGGGTGAATGTTAGTAGCACATAAACCTTCCTTAGATTACTTCACATCGCCCTCTTCATCATTATGTGGTGTTAATTTAGGACAGCATAAACTAGCTCGGTGTAGCGCAAAGTTAGATCTTGAGATAGAGATTTTTCAACTCTTCACCTCATTTTGGCGATGCGCACCCTCCATTAGAAACCTCTCATATAACACTTGGTCAACTTTGTTGAATAGGCTTTCAATGATAGTCCCGGGGGCAACCTTATCATATTGTAACACAATGTTCTCTTTTGAGGATAACCTTGGTTCCATTAGGCGTGCCATCTATTTTTCACACAAATTGGCTGATGGGGACATCAGTGCGACTTGTGCTTCAAATGAGCAGAGAAGGGATCTGGTCTGCTTACTATTTATTTTTATTTAGTGGGTTTTTGACCCTGTGTGCTGATAGAGATAGATCGGGATCTCCGTGGACTATATGATGAGGTGGAAGTATTGACATTGCCCTTTGTGAAGTTCGCGCCTTGAAGAAAGAGTAGTTCGACCTCAAGTGATGAAGACTAAAGGTTGTTACTTATTCCCACTTGGGTCCATTTGCAAACTCTCTTATAGGAAGAAGATAGCTTCAACTAAGGGAGTAGTTTCTCTCAGGTGTATGGTAGAACCCTGTAAGAAGATAGAATTCTTCAGGGAGTAGTAGTAGCTCTTGGGTGAATAGGAATCCTAGTGAGTAAGTCTCGACAAAAAGGTGGTAGGCCAATGAGAAAAATCTCCAATGAAGAGGTGGTATGTAACTCAAACGACCAAAGAGAACCCAAGGAGTTTTCTAGAGGAGTAAATATGTTGGAGCAAATGAGAGTTCAGACCTTAGGCTATAAGTCTTGGATAAGAAATAGGAGATATGACAAAAATGTTGGAGCCTTGGAGCCCTTTGAATGTGGGCTAATGATCTTTATTTATAGAGAAACCCTTCTTTGCTTAGTGTTAGGTGGTTTACACATCTCTTGATTTATGTGAGCTACTGTAGCAATTTTTTAGTCTATTGCCGCTGAATGGATAGCATCGCGGCACTCTTTTCAATAACTCTTGTAGATTTTATCGTTTATGTGGGGTTAGTAATGCTGCATAAATGCTCATTGGTTGTTTTTTTGTAGCTCTGCATAAACTTTGTGCATGGATCTTATCTTGAAGTGCTTTAACGCCTCTCATATGCTGCAGATTTGACTGCTAGTTCAATTGTAAGTTCAGTAGAAAGTTTATGTGCCCTTAACTTTATGCGGCCTTCGCACCACAAAAATCCTATCTCTGTCGTGACCTTAGCACCAGGTATATGCTATAGATTGGTCTGCCTGTTCAACTGTAACTTCAGGGCAAAGTTTACACGCCTTTAACTTTATGCGGTCTTAGCACCGTGTAAACACGTTTTTCTATTTTTTTTGGCGAGTTTGTATGTGGTTCTTGCTCCGTTTAAATTCGAGTTTTATGACATTGCATTCTTAGCCTCTTTTTGGGTCCATTTCATCATGTTGAGCACTTTTGATCACTTTGGAATGATGGTTAGACCCCGTGGGCCTCCTTGCAGCGTCATAGTGTGTTGACCGATGGTTCGACATTTTTGCCTGTCTGCACCTTCATCTTGAATTTTCAAGCCTTAAACTATAAAAATTACAAAATAGTACACTAAAAAAATCCAAGAAAATTAAAACAAAGATACTTTAGAACATAAAAGGGATATCTTGTTATGACCCAACATCTCAAAAGTATTTTACTTCTGCAGATGTCATTTTCTTTGAATCTGTTCCATATTTTTGATCCATATGTAGAGGATCGCCACCTTCCTCTATTTCTCCCCCATAGCTGATACTGCCATCTGCCCTTACTCAGTTAGTGCTGAGTTCTGAAGTTGATGAAAAGCTTGCATCAAAGCCAGCTCTAGTATATACTAGAAGACCAAAAGTACAGACATAGCTTACCTCCAACCGATCCTCCGTCTGTGGTTAAAGGTCTTACTCATCAGCAATCCTCTTTTCCTTCTGATTTTAATGTTCCTGTTGCTCTTTGAAAAGGTAAATGATCTATCACTACACATCTTATATTTTGTTTTATTTCCTATGATCATCTTACCCCGTCATTTTGCCAATTTACTTTGTCCTTGTCTTCTATATCTATGCCCAGGTCTTATCAGGAAGCCATGTTAGTTCCTACTTAGAAGGAGGATATGGGTGAGGAGATGAAAGCACTTGCTTCTCAGTCAGGAAGCCATGTTAGTTCCTACTTAGAAGGAGGATATGGGTGAGGAGATGAAAGCACTTGCTTCTCAGGATACATGGGATGTAGTTCATGCTCCTCAGGGAGCAAATATTGTGGGTTGTCACGGGGCCTTCACTGTGAAGTACCGTCCTAATGGTTCTGTGGACAGATACAAAGCTAGGCCAATTGCTAAAGGCTCTACTTAGACATATGTAGTTTGATTGCACTGAGACTTTCTCTCCTGTTGCTCGTCTCAACTTCATTCGTATATTGTTCTCCATTGCTGTTAATCTGGGGTGGCCCATATTTCAGCTTGATGTGAAGAATGTCTTATTGTATAATGACTTTCAAGAATAGGTTTATATGGTGCAACCTCTTGGGTATGTTACTCAAGGGGAGACTCATATTTTCACACTTAAGAAAGCATTGTATGGAATCGAACAGAGTCCATGTGCTTGGTTTGATAGGATTAGGCAAGTAGTATCTAGTATTGATTTCTAGTGGTGTTATTTAGACCATTCTATGTTTATTCACCACACTAGTTTGGGGATAGTGATCTTGGTTGTGTATGTTGATGATATTTTGCTGACAAAGAGTGATACAAAAGGTTTGGTAGAAACCAAAGAATATCTCAAGCATCATTCTTTAACCAAAGATAGGGGAAGCCAAAATACTTTCTTGGAATTGAAATTGCCTATCAGAAACATGAGTTACTTCTCTCCTAAAAAAGTATGCCTTGGATCTTTTAGAGGAGTCTAGTCTTCTGGGTTGCAAACATTCTTTTCGTACTTTAGATTTTTAGTGTACCTTCGGTCAAGTTCTAGTTTCCTACCACTTTGTACTAGTCAAAAGGTGTCATACCGAATTTCTGTCACATACCTTTTACTTGATATTATCATTTTCCATATCCAATATATATCCATTTCCATCAAATATGTATCTTAAGAACACCATTTTTTTTCAATAGAATGATATCAAACGTCTTGTTCAAATTACATATCATGGGGACAAGAGAAAGTTAGCCAAGGTTGGCCATCATAAAGTGCGCAGTTGGCAAGTATAAAAACTTATAATTTATAGATATTTTTTTTAGTTTAATTGTTAGATTCTATTTTCGAAATAGTTAACAGTTGACAGTCAGCTCTTTAATTGCATTGTTCTTAAATTTAGGGGTTTCTGCTGATGTGGCATTTTTTCTTTTCTTTTCTTTTTTTGGTGGGTGAAGGCTACCCCTTCTGCAGGTTTTATATGGTCCAGATTGTGTATAGTTAAAACGTCGATTCATATTCCTAATAGGAGCAGGTACAAAAAAATGATGCTTTGTCGCGTTTTTCATTTTGCTCCAAATATTACATATAATTTCTTGTGCCTAAGGTCTTTGTCGCGTTTTTCATTTTGCTCCAAATATTACATATAATTTCTTGTGCCTAAGGTTAGAGAACTATATGGATGTCATTTGAACAGGATGCTCCAAATATTACATATAATTTCTTGTGCCTAAGGTTAGAGAACTATATGGATGTCATTTGAACAGGAGTTATTTTGCAGATCTAAACATGTCAAAAATATTAGAATTAGAACAATATTACATCACCTTTGAAATGTTTGTTGCTGATGTCAAGAGAATGCTTGCCAATGCTCCCACCTATAATGCTCCAGAAACAATCTATTATAAATATGCTACGATGTATATTTCCTCGGAATGCTCCACATTTTTAATTTAACATTATTACTTTGACTAATACTGTGATTTCTTATTGCGCAGGCTTAGAACATTTTTCTTGATCAGGGTCTAGTCCCACCTTCTCCAAACAACTAGCAAGAATCCAAAGAATTGACTAATATATAGAAAATTTCTGGAAAAAAAAAGCCAGCAGGATAGAACCATCAAATTATTTTTCTGGAGTAGTAACTATGTCAAAGCTTTAAATCCTGATTCATAAATTATGGGCGTTGACGAAACCTGTTGATATCGGATGATGTGGTTTATAGAGATGAGGATACAGGATTTATCATAAATTAATTTTTAAACTGGAGTTGCAAATAGATAGCTTATTTCATCAAAAATAAAATATAAAATATAAAATAGATAGGGCATTTTTCATCATATGTTGAATAAGAAAATACCGTATTAATAGTAGTGTCAATCTAGTATCAAAATTTTAGTACAATTAGAAAGTTAGAATTACACTTCCCACAAGATTCCATATAGACAACCAATTATTTTACTTTAACCGTCTAGTAGGGTCACACTCGTCTTTTATTATGACTGATGATGATTGGGTATACAAGCTTCATCAATTGTCAATGTGTTAGGCCATTGGAAGAAGTAACTAGAGAATTATCTGATAGTTATTATCCAACTACAAAACTAAAATACTTATTTTAATTCATTTGACTACAATTCCTCACATGTTTGCTACATATCCAGATGATCCACTCTTATATGATGTTATGAAGAATGTGGAAGAAAATTTAAATAAATATTTTAAAGGTCTACTTTTACTTTATAGTTGTGCTCTACTGTTAGATCCTGGAGGAAAAATAAATGGCGGTGGAAATTTAATTCAATCAATAAAATTTGATATGAACTAGCTATAATCAATTGAAAGTGGATCAATATATGCAAAGTGAAAGGGATAAATTATATGAATTATATGTAATTTAATGTGGACCCCTGATGTCTAGAATTCATACTTTGACTTCTCCATCTTCATCTTTAACACCTTTATTATTTGGATGTCAAACTTTAATGAGACAAAGAAGAACCTCACAAGATGCAACTGAACATAGTTTTTATCTTAATCGATGTCAAACTTTAATGAGACAAAGAAGAACCTCACAAGATGCAACTGAACATAGTTTTTATCTTAATCGCTTAGATGGTCCCAACTAATAAAATGGAGGTCGCTAGTGTTGATGTACCAAAAACTTGATGCGGCATAAACATGTACCAAAAAGGTTGCAAGTGCACAACCGTGTCAAGTTATAGTATTTAAGATATCGATCCCACGAGGAAGGTGTTTTGTAGGAGAAAATATGAAATTGGTTCTTATTTTGTGTGCGTGACAAATAGGAGTGATAAGTGAATGTGATTGTGAAGAGATTGAGAGAGTGAAAGTGGTGTGTGAATAGGTGCAAAGTGTAAGTGAGAGTGGATTTGAGTATGATCAATAAGGTGAGAAGGAAAAATGAATAAAATCAAGAAACAAATAAAAAATTCAAGAATGAAGAACAAAATTCTAGAATAAAAGAAAATACAAGAAATTAAAGATGGTGGATTCAATTATAGATATGGGTAATCTAAAATTGAACCCACTTCTTAGAAAATGGTGATTCCCTAGAGAGTGTTGATGTATTAGCCTAGTGGAAAGTGAAAAGTGGAACTTATATTGTGCTTTCCCTTGGAGCTTGTGATATACTAACCCCTCCATTGTCTATAATAGCAGTCAAGAGTGCTTTTTCTAATGGTGGCAGAGAATTAACTGAGAAGAGAACTAACTTGAATAATGAGAGCTTGAAGAGGGTGATGCTATTGGTAGACTAGTGGAAGATAGATAAACGAACCCAAGAGATTGGCGTGTTTAACAAAGATTATCCACCAAGAGGAGAAGCAAGTCCATCTGGACCATCCCGCAATTGAAGAAATTTTAAATTTTATTTTGTAATTTTTAAACTCTTGCCAAACTAGTGGGTTGTGTTATACTCTTTCATTTTCGGTACAAAAATTTACTTTTAGTCACGTTACTATTCAATTGCTACTTGTAACTCTTCAATTTCTAGTTTCTACAATTATGTAAAACATTCATAAATTTATTAGTAAAGTTATTCTTCTTCTATAAAGTATTATCTTTAATTTTGATGTTTAAATTTGATTAATTATTTTATTTAAAATTAAGCCTAAATATAGTTAAAACTGTAAAAAATAAGTTTGGCCAAAACTTAGAAATACTAAGAAGCTCAAAAATTAGAAATATTTAAAAAAAAATTAATAATACGTAGCAGGGGTTTGAGTTTGAGCCCAATTTTAAATAGAGCGTTTTTATATCTTTTGGGCCGCTAAGGCCCACCCAAAATAGACCCAACCCAGTTAAATGTCAGCTGGCAAGTTTTGCCCATTGGCTAATGGGGAAAAATTTGCCTGTTGGCAATTTGAAATGGGCCTTTTTTTTTCTTTTTTAGAATTTGATTTTAATTTTTAAATCTATTCTAATTCATACAAATATCATAGTCAAAAGCCATGATTTTCTTTGAGATATTTTTTGATGTAATGAAAAAAAATATTAGAGAAGTGTTGTTGAAAATGAAAGCTTAAAGAAAAATGAAGAGCAGAACCATCTCTACTATAATTTGAAGAAAATTATGGAATCAATTTGTATTTTTTATTTTCTTAGTCTAGTATATTTTCCTTTTAGTATGCAACTCTTTTATTCTAGTAGTCCGATACTCAAGTTATTAATGAAATTCATTTTACTTTGTTAATATTTTGGTATATAGAAGAAAAAAATTTATTAGTAAAACAATAAGAATTTAACATGTCTTAACCAGATCGGGCCTAGCCCATAGCTTGACAAGCCAGGTCAGCAGGCCGAGTTTGTGCATCACCCAAACCAAAACACCCAAGCTCAAGACCGACTTGGTCTAATATGGGTCATTCAAGGCCTGACCCATTCGAGCCTAGGACAAGGGGTTTCGGGCCGGGTCTAGCCCGAACTTGGCTTGTGTTCAGATCTACAAGGGAATTATTGTTAATCATAATATAGATGAGAAACTAAAGAAAGTGACATTAGATGTGGGGCCCATTTGAGTTGGAGAACACAAATAAACAAGCACATATGAAACTCTATCTAATTTTCATATATAGTATGACATGATACTAGCAGAATTGACCCGAGCGATATCGCAACATTTATGTGAAGAAACCAAAAAGTAATAGTTTAAACATTTGGTTAAAAAAAACACTATGCATCCAATCATTTTAATAAAGATATCACAAGGTAAAGTGAAATATACCAAAATTATATACCAAATGGTTGTATACAAAGCGTTTTAAAATTAATTCTTTTGAATATGTTGGATCTAAGTCGACAGGAAAGTGGGTGGTCAAAAAATAAATAGTGATACAACTTTCAGTTGATGTGTAAAAGTATTTTCTATAAGCGAGTAGATTTAAACGACCATAAATACCCATAATACCCTCCTCCTCTTTGTTATCCATTTCTTCACTCTCATCACTTTCCTCCGGCTATCTCCCCAAGCGCTCTCCTCTTTCCTCCATCCTCCTCCTCCTCTCCCGCAACAACTTCTCTCGCTAACTTCTCACCCACCCCTTCCCTCTTTCCTCCATCCTCCTCCTCCTCTCCCGCAACAACTTCTCTCGCTAACTTCTCACCCACCCCTTCTCTTTTCCCGTGCATCAGCTTTCTCACTCTCCTTCTCAACTCGCTACCCTACCATAACTTGTTAGAGGGAGATTACGGTAAGGGCCACTATGATATTGTGGATATTGTTTTTAATCAGAAATCCCCAAAAGTGTGTGACACTGTAACCATGGTAGCAATTAAAGGTTGTTTCCATAATAAAAATTAAAAGTGATATCTATTCATTTGGGTAAAAGTAAATGTGGTTTTTATGTAAAAACTCTTAAAAATAAAATTGACTGTAGGGTAGAGAGACCTAGGGTTTTTGACATGAGCCCCTTGCAGCTTACAATTTTGAATTTAGCCCATTAGATCATTGAAATTACTCTTGGGTCGCAAACTTTAAAGTTATTATCCCATTAATCCCTTAAGTCGTTGAAATTTCTATCAGGCCCCTTGATTCTCCTAATTTTCTTCAAATTAATCTATCTAGTTATTGCGTCTAACTTAATTATTAAGAGGACTAATTTCAAAATAATTTAATAATTGAGGGGACTAATAGTAATTTCAATGATATAGGGACTAACTTCTCAATAACTTAAAGAGGACCTAGTAGCAATGTTTGAGGGATTAATGTGTACGGAAGATAAAATAAACTTTCTTAAATGGTTTCAAAATAAAACTTCGGGTTTACATAAAAAAGGACAAACACTTTGAGGGATTAATAAGTGTTTGGAAGATAAATAAAACTTCGTTAGATGGTTGAGTTTCAAAGTAAGACACTTTGGGTTTACATATAAGAAGACGAATCTTAAGAAGAGAAGGCTGAGGTGGTTCGAACCCCCACAACATCAGGGCAAAATATAAAGCCATTACCAACCCCGCCAACAAAATTTTCTTGGACTCATTTAGAACTCTTTCACATAGGACATAATTTGGATGAACTGTAGCTATCCGTCCCACTAAGACACTGAGACACACACACATAAAGAAGGTCATAATCTAATGTTGCCCCTTGTTTGGCTTTAACCTTTTACCTTGTCGGCGTTGATACAAAACCCTAAGGTCAACGTCGGTCAACGCGTAGCCTTAGGTCAACGCCGGTCAACGCGTTACGATGAAAGTCAACGTTAATCGATAAGAAATCCCAAGTTCAACGTCGGTCAACGCGTAGCCCTAGGTCAACGCCGGTCAATACATTACCCTAGGTCAACGTCGGTCAACGCGTTGCGATACAGATAATTAGTTCAAAGTCAACTCAATAACACGAGCCAAAATCAACTCACTAATTTCGATTTGAGACTTCGACAACGGTCAGACGATAAACGCAGCACCAGAAGAATTTTAACTATTCGACAAAATACTGAATAGACTAAAATGTAGAGAAATCAAGAACTAAAGCCAGTTACAGATCCTTTGACACCGATTGAAGGTGGGGGTCTATCACATCCAAAGCATTTCAGACTCCTTTATAAAAGAATGAGGCTGGAACACTTTGGAGGCGGTATTTGTAGGCATCTAAAACTGGCCATAGGTTCCCGCACATTGCTCGAGAATAAGAGAAGACGATGAACGTCATCATCCGAATAGAGAAGGATTATCCGAGTGCCCGACGCACGCGTCGATCAGCTCCAAGTGACCCCCGCGCTTATCAGTCAGCGCTAAGTGACCGGGTGCGCACGTCAGTCGGTTCGCGCGCGTCAGTCAACGCCAAGTGATCGGACACGCACGTCAGTCAACTTGCGCACGTCAATCAACACGCTGGTCAGGCAGCCCCAAGTGACCGACGGGTTCGTCGTTCGGTCCTAGCGAAAAGTACAAGCCAACGAGTCAACCAAATACGCAAAAAGGTGGAGAATACAGGTCCGGGAAAGTCGGGAAACACCGAAATACGAAAAGACAGAGAAATAGTCTCAACTCGTGTGAGGGCGCAGGTCACCACCTGGTGACCCGCGCGCACGCGGGTCACTAATAGGTAACTCGCGGTCGTGCGGGTCACCCATTGGTGACCCGCGGCCGCGC